AAAAAAAAATATATATATATATATATATATATATATATATATATATGGCTAAGGCTTTTTTCTCTCTCTCAAGTGGCTAGTTTCTCTGAAATCTTTTTTAAAACTATTTAATTTTTGTTTTTACATGTTATGAAGAAGTGAAGTTCTAATTAATGAAGTTGTACTACATTTGGGAATTCACATTTTGGGTACTGCTTTGACATCAAAATAATAGGAATTCAAAACAAAAATCAATTTTCCCCCAGAAGCAAGACTTTGTTTTCTGACACTATGTCAACTAATCATGGCAAATTCAAATCTAATTTTCCAATGGTACTTCACATATTTTTTTGCCTCTTTTATACCAATCTCTGTTTGAATATACTCATGGAATACAAAATAATTTTCTTATCCAAAATAGGATATGAAAAAGCAAAATAAACAATATGGCATTATGAAGTACGATCAATTATTCCATGATTATATGATTTAGAATTATACCCTCCAACAATGAACTCTAAAAAGTTGACTTTTATACATAAAAATAGCATCAATTCCTAAGTTACAATGAAAGCTATTATCTTGATGTCAGGGGCTTTGAAAATCTCAATGCACTTTTGCAAATGCTACCTAACTCAAACCATTAACATTATATGAAGATCATCAATGCAACAGAAATCAGCAAAAACTATGACTATGTTCTGTGACTTCTGAACACTATGCCAGTTACTGGAATCTTGTAGTAGCACTAAAATAACACAACACAGACCTGAGCTAAAAGGACAATGAAGTGAGAAATAAATATATATATTGATTAAGTAGAATGTGTGTGTGTGTGTGTGTGTGTGTGTGTGTGTTAGACAAAATGAAATACCATATTAAATTTCACATTATCTTGAGGCCTGTAGGAAGAGTTATTTTTTAATTGAATATTTACTTTAACCAAAAGGAAAACTGTCGTATACTAAGTGAATAGCCCCATACTGTTTGGGAGGTTCAAGGAAAGATACAGTACAATATTTTAGCTGCCAGTACTGTCAGTCTCAAGAGGCTGAAGGCCTAGTACATCCCTTGGAAGAGAAATTTGGCAAGAAAAGTTTCCAGTTTTTTCTCCAAATGTGGTTAAATAAACCAGATATCCCCAAAGTAATGAAGACTCATTTCAAGTAATTACTCTGCTTACAAGTTTTATTTACACAGTAATTGTTAATAGTGGTTTTTAGTGAATTCCTTGTATTTACATTTTATATACACATTTATACTTGAAAGGTAAACTATACAATTAAAAAAATAAGACAAAGAATTACAGTAACGTAGGTCCAACTCAGGAAAGAAATGCACAAAAGGAAGATTAAACTCAGGCAGGTAGTATAACCTCAATGAGATTACTGCCAGGGCTTACATTCCCTCTATCAGGGTCACCAATGTGAAGGAAGTAGTTACCAGAGTCAGAATGTTATTGTAAAACCTATAAGACCCTGGGTACTCCCTCAATATTTTATTACACTACTAGTTTCCACTAAGCAAGCTCCTATGACAGGAGTTAATTTCTGAGGGTTCCACTAGTGGTCCCTAGGCTAGAATGACCCATGGGGTAAAAATATATGGGCACATCTGGTCCCATACTCCTAAAGAGGCAGTCACTACACTAACAAGGTTCTTAGGCTTGTTAGTTTGAAGACAATATACCACTAACAGAAATAGTGTGCTTAAGTGTTGTTTCAAACCAAACTGCAACATAAAAGCACACTACAAATCTAATTATTAACCGAACAGCATGTTATATAGCTATCACTCATAATATTCAAGTGATTTATTTTAGGTTAAGAATTAAACACATTATAATAAATTTAATGTCAATTTATCAATAATTAATAATTTCTTTATCCACTATACCATCAAAGTTAGACTCATTAGAAAACTGTTTATCTTTTTCTTTTATTCTTATTTCCTTTGATTAAAAAATTATGCACAGTATTTTACAAGTCATGGACTTGGCTACATATTAAGATTTCAAATTTCAAACTGAAATTAACAAATTTTACTTCTACAAACAGTGAAGAAATTTTAACTAAAAAATCTCAAGTCTTGCTAAGAACTGTTAGAATTCATACTTTTTACTCTTACCAGTGAAAAACCTCATTCATATTTATGGACTTACTTCCCAAATCAAGTCTTCAGTCCATTAAAGTGCAAAAAACTTTCCTTCTATCAGTTAGCTTTCTTAAATTACTCGATGAACCATTTTTTAAACTAGATACAGAAAGGCTAAACCACTTTGAGTAACAGGAATTCCTTAAGGGAAAAAAAAAAAAATTCCCTTTAGAAACAAATAGACATGATACAGTGGAAAAACACCTAAACAAATGCAAATCAATTTCTGAAGTATTTCCAATTCCCAGACAACCAAGATTTGCCTCAACCTGTGAATGAAGATAAACAACTTTAGTAACCTAAATAATTTACAACCAAAGTTGCTTATCCTTGGTCTATAATATCTTCAAAAGGTCAGAACTAGAGATCTGTACTAAGGTGTTTATTTGAAATAGTATTTTGGAAGTTAAAGTAGTATTAAACAATCCTGCTCTGACCTCCAAAGTGCCTTTATGGTACCTGTTAAAAAAGAAAAGATGTAAAAATCTGAAGTATCTCCAAAGCTGTTAAAAAATTTTATTGCATTACTGTTCGCTCCAATTCATGGAGTACGAACTAGCCATTTAAACTTTTTCTTTTGTAAAATGACTCTCCCTACAAAATACTTTTTATTTTATTAATACTGTCAATAGGTTACTTATTTCATTTACTTCAGCCATGGAATTCAAAATCAGCAGTTTTCCATGTCTTGATTCTTTAGGTTTCTCTATCCTTTTTACATAGAAAACAAAAAACTTTTATCAAAGACCATATTTATATTCCAATTAGTCTGTTAATTTTGAAGATTAGCTTTTCAGAGCAGGACTGTTATTCTTCTCTCCTTCTTTAATATCCTTCATTACAGATGCAAAGACCTGAAATTATACAGAGAAAAGATTAATCCTCAGAAAACTACCATGTAGATTTAGGAGATTTAAATAACTATAGCTTATTAACATGAAAAAGCTCTAGTATACTTATACGTTAACTCTGTCCCCTGAGTTAAGATTGAGACTGCCATTCTCAAATCCTTTTGTTTCAATGCAATTTTATGATATATAGTTTTCATCACTTGTTAAATACAGGGTGGGGCAAAAGTAGGGTTATAGTTGTTCATATGGAAAATAATACAATAATTAATAATAAAACAAGAATCAACTCTGTGTTTCGTGTATTCACAGCTATAAACATGCTTTTGCGCCACCCTGTATTCTTAAAATACTATTTGGTAATAGAACATTTTCTGGATCAATATTCTTACATTTCATTTTCATAAGCAGTAAAACTGTGAACTTATTTATAATGCCTATTGTCTATCATTCACAGAGCAAAAGATAATGCTATCTTTTATGCCACTTAACTTAGACTGCCAATGTTTGCTTCCCTAACAAGACTAAGCATCTAAAAAGTCAGGATCATACATTATTTTCTTTCTATTGCAAATCCTTAGTACACAGCATGTTTTTAATACAATTGCTGCCTATTTGAAATACCAAAGCACTAATAAATTTGCTTTGTCAAAGCCATGACTATTGTAGGTTGTACTTCACTAAATTCATAAAATATTACTGAACTACAGAAAAATAAATCCATAGCTTTGGAGAGGTGAAAGAGAAGCAATCTGTTTTCAACTCTTGCTCTTTCAAAGTCAAGAATTATTTTTAAAAGATTTTTTAAAAAGTTAAGCACTAACATTTGAGAAATACATAATTTTTTTTATAAGTCAACTGATTGTTTTAACACATCTATAAGAATTAGGAAAATGTCACTCTACCTGAGTCCATTTTTTGGTGCTATTCTGCATCTGAATTGCTGCAATACAGCTGAACAGCTTTTCTGATGTAATATCTTCTGGTAATTTAGTTAGAAACTGTGCTATATGAATAAAATCCATCTGCAGGAGAATATCTTCATATAATCGGAGGATCCCTAATCCAGTCCTAAATAAAAATTCCTCCCCATCTCTGCAAAATACATCCCAGACTCGACATGCCAAATCAAGTGGTAGTGATTTGCTATATAGGGTGAAGATCCTAAAATTAGGGGGGGAAAACAGTCATTGAAATTTTTATTTATTCATTCATTCACTCATTAAACATCTTTATATAAAAAGAACAGTAATTAATTAGGGATAAAAAGGCAAATAAAATATGGCTCTTTCCCTCATAGAGCTTGAGTAATACAAAATTAAGTAATAAGTAAGTAAATTATGTGGATTTACAACCTTATGTAGAGACATGGCCCAGTACAGACCAGAGTGGCAGAACAGCCTAGTTGTTAAGGGTATGGCTCTGAAACTAGAATGCCTGAGTCTGAATCTTAGATATGCAACTTATTAGTTGTGTTACTTTGAGCAAGATTATTTATTCTTGTTGTGCCTCAGTTTCCTCAATAATCAAAAGAGAATGCTACCTACCTCTTAGGATTGTTTTGAAAATTAAAGGGGTTAATGTACAGTGTTTTCATAACAGTGACTGGCACATAAGAAATACTCAGTAAAAGTTGTTGTTATATAAGAGACCCAAGTATCATCTTTTTGTAACCTAAATCTAAAATTACAAAGTCTTACTTCTTTTCTCTTCTCCTTCCACAAACATCCAGGTTTTTCCCCTCCTCCCTTAACCAAACTTTACTTACTACTTCTTTTGGAGCATGGATATGCTCCAACACAATCACCAAGATGTTTTTTCACATCCTTGCTGACAATGATCATGTAATTCATTATCTGGTGGTGCTTTGGGTGGCATTCTGGTTGGGGAAGTAGGGAGAATAGGTACTAGAGAACTTCTTAAAGTTGCTTTGGCAGAGAAAGTACACAGTTTTTACACAGACTGTTTCTTTGAGGTTAGGGCTAATGAAACTTGAGAAAGGGAACTAAAAACTCTCCAACCAAAGAAAAAAACCCACTCTTTAGCAAGACCACTTTTTTATTCCTCTGTTTTCCTGCACAGTTGATTCTGGGATTTGTATGTAATAAGTTCAACACAGGCAGTGAAACAAAAATCATGTCTACTTCTTAAAGTAGAAACACATATTTAATTGCATATCAAAAAGAATACTCTTGGTGGTACAGAGAATACTAAGTCACTATTCAAAATGAGAAAGGGTACGAATAGTGCCTGGGCCATTTTTATTTTTTTTTAATATCTCTTTATTGATTTCAGGGAGAGGGAGAGAGAGAGATAGAAACATCAACGATAAGAGAGTCATTGATTGGCTGCAGCCTGCAACCGGGCATGTGCCCTGACCGGGAATCAAACCCCAATCTCCTGGATCCTAGGTCGATGCTCAACCGCTGAGCCACGCCCGGCTGGGCATGGGCCATTTCTAGTCTATAGTACTCCCTCATTAACAGTTCCATCCTGCTCCTGATATCAGTTGTGAGCCTGATGTGCCTCTTGTTCACAGTCTTCAAGACTGACAACCGAGTTATTTTTTCCCCCCTTCTTTAAAGATTTGGTATTTGATCTTGGCCCTCTGGGTGCCATGATATAATAGTACCCATTGCCTTTGGCTTTCCCAGAGGAACTCTAATGTTCCTAGTGGGAATGAAAGAGAATACACTGAAAAATAACTTGTTTTTTAAAAAAGCCTAAATAAAAGAAGCCCAAACAACTGGGAAGATACCATATTTGTTCAATGCTGTTATTTCTTTTTCTATATTAGAAATTATCATTTACATGAAACCCACTGATTTCAAACGATTAGGATTTAAGGTTTAAATGTTTCATACATACTCTTAACCTATGCTAAGAGCAATTCCCCCACCTCTTTGACAAAATTCACTTGCCATTCTATAACCAACTGGCTCACCAGAGTCTTAGGCAAACCCTCCAAGTTAAAACAGAAGAGCTGGAATTGTAAAATTGAAAAAAGACATCAGCACCTAAATAAGACATCAATCCTCTGTCACAAAGCTGGACAAAGCCTTGAAAAAAACTATCATAACTATCATAAGCCCTTGTGTGTTAACTAAATAAAGGCATAGCAACTAACTCTGAAAGCTTAGTATGTACTAGGCATTGCATGAGATAATACATGTAAAATACCCTCACTGCTACTCAAAATATAATATTATTCCCACTTTATAGATAAGAAACTAAAACACAAACTGAGCGATTCTGATTTCAACCTGAGTCCATACTCTTAATCAAATACCTCCCCACAAAAATGTGAGTTTCTCTGTTCGTAAAGGGTTTTTTATATGCATGATCTGTGCATGAGATTTACTCTAGTTCCTAAAACATACAAAAAGTTATACTTTGTTTCCTTTTAATTATATTTTATGTACATAAGTTATCACTTACCAGTCTATCAAGTATATGTCTGGTGTAAGACTATAAGATTTGAAATGAAGAAATAGTTTGGAGAGATTTTCTTCAAAAAATACTTCAAATGTTGCAAAATATTTCAACATCTAAAAATGGAAATATCAATAAAATTATTAAAGAGTACGCTATAGAAATAGAGAAATTAAATCCTCAATCATAAGTTAACAGAAAATCTTGCTTAGCACCTCTGAGCAAGCATTCATAAAACTATACTTCAATGAAAAGTTTCTTTTATATCATCCTTTTTTCTTTTATTAAATTTATTGGGGTGACAGTGGTTAATGGGATCATACAGGTTTTAGGTATGGGTTGCTATGTTACAAGATCTGTATACTGCACTGTGTGTACACCACCCAAAGTCAAATAATTTTCTGTCACCATATATTAGGCCTCCTTCACTGCTCCCCACCCCCTTCCCTCTGGCAACCACCACAGTGCTGTTTGTGTCCCCAAGTTTCAGTTTTATATCCCACGTATGAGTGAAATCATGTTTCTTAGCTTTTTCTGTTTGACTTACTTCATTTGGCATAAGAAAAGTTTATTTTAGACCAGATTACTTTTGTTTTCTATTGTTTTCGCTCTAAAAGGGCATTCAGACTACTGAAACGGACAGTCACCAAAAAAATGATTCATTCCCAATGTCCATACCATGCTGTGATCCACACGGAAGAAGGCCAACTGGCATGGCTTATTCAGGAGATTTGCAAACGCAATGAAGGCATCTGCCTCTTCCAAATTGAGAATGAGAACTGCTGCTATGAAGGACATCCCTTGGACCTTCAAAGGGAAAGGAAATTAATCAAAATGGATTTATAATAATAATTCTATAGAGTTTATTTTATTGCATTCCTAAAAAATTACAAAGTGATATTACAAGGTAAAATTAACCAAGATTTCTTCCCCCGCCCCCCAACAAAGGTATAAATACAGAGTACTCATTAATAATTATAAAATCCCTAATTTTAAATTTCTTGATCATATGGTGTGGTTTAAAAAGTATTAAGGAAATTTTTGGAAAGAAGTATCAGCTTTTACTTGCTACAAAAGCCTATCTCAATGTACTCCCTAGTTTATTTCCTCTTCATCTGAAGTCTTTCAGAATATAGAATCACAAAGTTTAATGAAAACTAGGTGATTGTCTTCATTGTTATAACACATCTGTCTGAGGCAGGAAGTGAGGCACTAAGAATAAGAGAGATTGCCCTGGCCGGAGTGGCTCAGTTGGTTGGGAATCACCCAGGGCACAGAAAGGTGGCCTGTTCAATTCCCAGCCAGGGCACATACCCGTGCAGGAGGCAGCCCATCAATGTTTCACTTTCACATCAATGTTTGTCTCTCTCTTTCCCTCTCCTTCTCTCTCTAGAAATCAATAAAAAATATTAAAAAAATAAAGAGTAAGAGAGATCTATGAGGAGTGTTGTTGAAATTCCAGGAAAGAAGAGGTGGTGGAGTTTGGGATAGTGAGGCTGAATTCCTGGAAAAACAGGACGACGAAATAAGAAAATTCCAGGATGAGAAAGATGTCTAAGTAAAGACATGCAGAACCAGCTCAGTGGGAGCAAAAGCTTTATAAGGGGAATAATGGGAAAAATCAGAAAAAGGGGGATGTATTTATGAACTGGAAAAGGCCTCGAGGAGAAGGCTAAGCTATGTGAGTCACAGGGAGTTATTGTGCCTTTCTGAGCAGGCAGATGTATGGAACTGATCCTGTAAAACTATTCATTCTTCCAATAAAAAAAGTTTATCAAGCAATTACTTCTGGTAGAGATTTGTATAACAGACTTACACAGAGAGGCCACTAAGAATATTTGCAACTTCTGTCTCAACTTTCTTAGCAACCTTTAAACTTTTTAACACACTTCAATCTGGATTCCTACTCTATTACTATACTATCTTGAAATTTCTCTTACCAGGGTGACCAGTGATATTTATTATAAAACCCACTGGGCACTTTCCTACCCCCTAAGCAGAAGTCCCTTAGCATCTGTGACCCACTGTTTTTCTGTTCTTCGCCTACTTCTCTGGCTTCTTGTGTGACTGCTCAATTTGCCATGTTTAACCAGAAGTCATAAAACCTTCATCTTCTCACCTCTGTCTTATAATAGAAGAATTTTAGAGACCTCACAATAGGGTGTCTACCTGGTACAACTTACTCTACACTTTGTTGCATGTTCATGTGTACATTTGTTCATTCATTCACTCAACAAATATTTACTAGGTACTTATTGCTGTATGACAGGCATTGTTCTAGGTACTGGAGATACCTCAGTGAATAAAAAATTCTTACAGTTTAGAAGGAGATACACAATAAACAACAAACAAGTAAATCATTTTTTATTAAAAGGTGGTAAGTGCTGCACTGGCCGGTCTAGCTCAGTAGTTAGAGCGTTGGCCCATCACCAAAGGGTCGAGGGTTCAATTACCAGTCAAGGCCACATACCTGGGTTGCAGGTTTGATCCCTGGCCCCAGTCAGGAGGCAACCAATCAATGTGTCTCTCTCGCATCTATGTCTGTCTGTCTCTTTCCTCTTCCCTCCCTCTCTCCCACTCTAAAAATCAAAGAAAAAGTATCCTCAGGTGAGGATAAACTAAACTAAACTAAACTAAAAACTACACTAAACTAAACTAAACACTAAACTAAACACAAATAATAAAATAAAATAAAATAAAAAATAAAATAATAAAATAAAACTAGGATTGGCTGACAGTCTGTAAAAGGAGCAAATCCCCTCTCCCATGCTTCCCTCAACCTGGAGGCCCAGTCAAGAAGAGGTAGGTTAGAGAGAAGGTGAGAAGGCACCAGGGCACCAGACAATAGCAGTGGCAATAAATGAAAGTTTACAAATTGAATGGTGAAATCCCCAGCTGCTCTCCCAGAAAACTGGCAGCCAGCTTCATAAGCCTCTGGTAGGAGATGGAAAGGTTTCTCTCTGGGTAAGTTGATAGGCCCAAAGAAAAAAGACACAGAGATACACACATTTGGGAGCTAATACAATATAATATACTTGGACAAGATAGATTAAATGTTTATATTCAGAAAACAGACTGAAACAAATACTTACATAACCAACATCAGGTCTGTAACATGTATATGCCCCTAAGATACTATGTAAGACATCATGATATGGGCCACCCTTTGGAGAGAAAATGGAATGTCAAAGTATACAAATAATTGTCTCCAAGTTAATTGTTAAATAACATATTAATAAACTTCAGCATTTCCTAAAAGACTAATTTTAGTTAGTATATTTAATCATTGTCAGAAATATTCTAAATGCACTCTGCACCAAAATTTTTCTAAAGAATTAAAAGAATATTAATCCTAAACAACAAAAAGTCAAACAAACTCACTTGAGGGATACAAGCTATATAGTTTATGTATAATTTTAAAGACTTCTGGATTTGGTACAATAAGATTATAAGGAGAACAGATGTTTCATTTTATATATTACAATTTCAGCAAGAAAAAAAAAATGCCATCAAGCTACACTAAATTAAGTTTATTAATAATTTTTATCTTAATAGTAAAAATGTTTGTCTCACTTTATCAATTTAAAGAGAGAAATGCCATATATTAAAGATCTGAGACAAATATAATGTGCATATAACATGTAATCATGTCTCATAAAATTTAAGCAACTTTAAAAACATTTTTCTCTTCAGTTACAGTTGACATTCAATATTATACTAATTTCTGGTGTCCAGTATAGTGGTTAAACATTTATATAACTTACAAAGTGATTCCCCCAATAAGTCTAGGATCCACCTGGCACCATACAGTTATTACAATATTATTGACTGTATTCCCTATGCTGTACTTTACATCCCTGTAAGGAACTTAATAGCCTCTGCACAAAAAACAACTTCCCCCCACCCTATTTCAAAAGTAATTCTGAAAAATGTTTAAATTTGGGGACAAATTCCTTTATATTGTAGCAATTTACGAGGGGAAATTGTTAAAATTCAAGTATCTTACAGAATAAAAAGTAAAACAAAAAAAATTCACCTCAATGATAATTCATCAAAGTACCTACTACATAAAATTATTATGTGCTATGCTAACTGCAATGCATCCAGTCAGTAGAATAAAATAATTTCCTTTAAAATTTTCCTACTGATTTCACATTTTTAATATAAAGTTCCCCAATTTTTATAGTTTTGTTTTTTAAATAATAATAGCTATGAATCTGGAGAATTTATTTGGATTTTTAAAAAAGTAGTTAAAAACTGGTTAGAAACCCTCACCTTCTGAAAGATGTAGAGAGATGGAAATGTACGGGATATGTCCAACTTAATTAATTCCAGACTGGCCTCTCGATCAGCAACAGATACACCTGTATTTGCCAGGTAAATAAAGTTAAAATGATTACTTGGCTATATCCAGTTCAATCTTGTAAAAAGAATGATCACATAGCATATATGTTACTTAAGGAAAGTTAAAAGCTGAATAATCAAGAAACTTAAAGACATGATGTCACATAGCTTTTGCTGGAACTTAGAGCCTCTTCTGTGAATATCTATGAATTTATTAGAAAGTTATATGGTGAAGGATTTCTACTTCCAGTTTTTTTAGAAGGTAGGGGTTTGTTTTTTTTACAGAGCGTGGGTAGATTCTCACTCCCACAATAACTGGAAAAAATATATATTTCAAATATCACATTTTTAAAAAAGGCAAAAGAGAACTGTGTACACAGAGAGGTCTAGAGAATTTAAATCCCAGAGACGAGCCTTCCCTAGGTGAGAGGATACCAGTGGTTGTTTTTCTTTCTAGGCCCATCTGTCAAGTCTAGGCATGGGCTCAGGATTGAGCATGCCAGAGACAAAGGTACTTTACTTGGGGAAAGAGAAACCGGAAGAGCTTTTCAGGGACAAATAAGACTTATGTAATTAAAGCCTGAATGCATATCTGGTTTCCCACTATGGGACTTTTGCTGAGTGCTAGCGAAGTGCAGAAAGCAGGGCTGGAAAGGCAGATTAAAATCATTCAAAATCACATGGTCCTTGGGGAGGGTCTCACAGAGGGAGGAGCCTGTCATCAAAATAGGGGCAGTTTTTCCCATTGAGAAATTTGAAACCTGAGATGAACTAAATCTAAAGCTGCAACCTTGCCCCAATCTAGCTCAATTACTGACTGAATCGAGGTGATAACCCAACTGCCTAAGCAAAAAAGAAACATCAGCTTCAGTTATACATTCTATTTATTTATTATTATTATTATTGTTGTTGTTGTTGTTTTAATCCTCACCGGAGAATATTTTTTCCACTGCTTTTCAGAGAGAGTGGAAGGGAAAGAGAGACAGATAGACATCAATGAGAGAGAGACACATCGACTGGCTGCTTCCTGCACTTGACCCGACTGGGGCAGAGCCTGCAACTGAGGTATGTGCCCTTGGCCGGAATCAAACCCGGGACCTCTTCCGTCTGAGGGCCGACGCTCTAACCACTGAGCCACACCGGCCAGGGCTATAAATTCTTTTTATATATGACTGACATACAATGTAAGATTTTAAGATATGCAAAGCAACGGGAAAATATTTTATAATCGAGGAAACCAGCCAGTAGAAGCAGACCTGCAGATGATCCAGTATTGAAATTAACAAACAAGAACATTGTTACATGGTTAAAGAAAATAGAGAAAAAGATGGGGAGAAAAATGTATGAAATGGAATGAAGAATTTCAACAGAGAAATAGAATCTACAAAAAAAACCCAGGTAACATTCTAGAATTACAAAGTATAATATCTGAAATTAAAGACTCATTGAACAGATTTAATAGACTGGATACAGGAAAAAAGACTAGTGAACTTAATAGGTCAATAAAAATAATCTAAAATAAGGCCAAAAAAAGGAAAATCTTTTTTGAGTATAAGAGACTTGTAGGACACTGTTAAATGTTCTGACATACTTGTAATTAGAGACTCAGAAGGAGAGAAGATAGGGCAGAAGTAATATTTGAAAAATAATGGCAAAAAAGTTTAATTACAACTGAAAATTATAAACACCCAGAAAATAAGAAATCAGAAATTTAAAGAGATCATTGCTTCTCATTGGAACAATTCTTCATTTACATTCAATTAACTTCTACTAAAGTACAACTTTTACCACTTAATCATGACAAGATATCTCAGAAGTGCTTAAAATTTTAATTCTTATACATTCAATACTTCATAAAAATGAGTGTAAGAAGAATGATGAAACACCTACATCTTACACCTTTAGTTTCCCCACATATAGCTGATATAGCTAACAGGTCTCAGGATGATACTTACGTGAACCTTTCTCAAAATCAAGCTCCTCTCTAACCTTGTTTGGTGAATTTTCTTCTCCCTACTGTTCACTTTTTTTTCAATTACAGTTTACATTCAATATTACTTTATATTAGTTTCAGGTGTACTGTTGCTTTTCTCAAATAAAAAAGAACAATATTCAAGGAACTTAACAGAGTTGTTTACATACTGATAGAAAACCACTATAAGATATGCACCATTTCTCTATCCTAAGCCATGTTCATTTTTAGAGTTGTACTTACGGGCAAGAGAAGAAGGTTTGCTTTCTACTAAATAGAACAAATATAGAAAGAAAAGTGGCAGACAAATGGCTTCCCCTTATTGAAGGACAAGAGATGGTTGAACAAATTTACCTACATTTAATAAACTATGATAACAGAAAAAATTACTTCCTCCAAAATGATGAAGAAAATTGATGAGTGGAGGAAAAAGAGGAGTATATGGGTGAATTAAATAAGCAAGATTAGGCATAAGAATAATAAATGAGATATTAGGGAGGGAGTGAAAGTGAGAGAGGAGGCAAGAGGTCACAAGGGAGGTATAAAGATCTATTATTAAGAGTTGTCCTAAAAATACTTCACCCCATTAGTCTTTTTTTTAATTTTTATTTTTAGACAGAGAAAGAGGGAGAGGAAAAGAGAGATAGAAACATCAATACATCAACATCAATGCACTGCCTCCTGCTGGGGACTGAGCCGGCAACCCGAGGCATGTGCCCTGACCGGGAATGGAACTGTGACCTCTTGGTTCATGGGTCAATGCTGAACCACTAGCCACACTGGCTGGGCCACCCCATTAGTCTTAACTATTGTGATTAAATCCTGGGCTCTGGAGTCCAACAACCTGAGTTTACATCATGGCTTCACTGCTTACAAGTTAACTACTTTGAGTTTCCCCTTATATCATCCAGGATAATACCACTACTTAAAGAGCTACTAACATTAGAGGAGATAATGTATGTAAAGCAATTCTACAGTTCCTGACACATGGTAAAAATCAAACCATTATCTTCAGTGACTGGATTTTCATCCAGAAATTTGTTAACAAAAAATAATCACACCCTTTCTCTTCAAAGAGGAGGTGGAGTGGCCTCCCCAGCAGACTAAGAGATGTGGATCTTTGTGAAGACCCTGACTAGCAAGACCATCAAGCCCAGTGACACCACTGAGAACGTCAAAGCTAAAATCCAAGACAAGGATGGCATCCCACTTGACCAGGAGCGTCTGGATTTTTGCAGGCAAGCAGCTGGAGGATGGCCGCATTCTGTCAGACTACAGTATCCAGAAAGAGTCCACCCTGCACTTGGTGCTTCCTAAGCAGGGTGGGATCATTGAGCCTTCCCTCTGCCAGCTGGCCCAGAAGTACAACTTCAACAAAATAATCTGCCACAAGTGTTATACCCACCTGTGCCCCTCTGCTGTAAACTGTAGCAAGTGTGGCCACACCAACAACCTGTGGCCCAAGGAGGAGGTTAAATAAGGCCCCTCCACCACCTCCTCCTCGGCCCGCAGGGTGGCCTTCTGCCTGAACCCCGTGGCCCTGGGACCTCAATAAAGTTTCCCTTTCGTTGAACAGAAAAATAATAATCATCACACCTTCTGTATCATTCTCTGAACTTGTTTCACTGAAGCTTTTCCACCGTTCTTTTGCCCTTGATAGGAAGATTTCATAAAGTTCTGGGGAAAAAGAACAAAAATTCATAAACAGTAGGAAAGAAATATATTTATATATTTTTATTTTTACTCTTAAACAAAAAGATCCCATTATAGGTCAGGTATCCCTTATGCGGCTGGCATTAAAAAATGTGGCAAGTTGAAATACTTGATTCTACCAAAACTATTACACCCAGAAAGACAGCAAATGAAAATATCCCAGAGCAGCCATCCAAATAGCTACAATATAGAATGTATGTATGAGGCAGGTAGAGACACTTCTGCTAAAGGAGCCATTGTGGAACAGCAGAAACATGATTTTTGGAGTCACCTGTAGGACTTCAAAAAAGCTACTTTCTAACTCTGGAACTTGGCTTTCTTCATCTGTAAACTGGAGAAAAATGATACCTATTCATGAGTTACTAATGATTAAACAAGATTACTTATGTAAAGCTCCTGACACTTTACAGACCCTCAATAAATGCTAATTCTTGCTTCCTTCTTTCTTGAAACTGGTTTCTCCATTATGTATTGCTATCTAAAGCTACATAAACTTCAGTCAAAGGGTCACATATGAAAATCTCTACCCTTTTTTTACTTTAAGTGCCCAATCACTTTTTGAGACCACACTCTACACTTTCGTATGCAGGAACTCATTAAAATTTCAAGAACATAAAAACGCATTTTTCTCATTCTCAAAACTTAATTGTCTTTACTTTCTAACTAACCATTATGTATTTTTAAATTATACCCAAAAAAATTTCAATGACAGAAGAACAGCAAAAAATATTTCTTGCCCAAACACCAACATTTACATATAGCCCCAAATACCAAGAACATTTTTTGCTTTAATTAATCTTGTTAGAAAAATTTATTTGACCCAGTCAGCATGGCTACATGGTTAAGTGTTGACCTATGAACCTCCTGGTCACAGTTTGATTCTTGTTAGAGCACATGCCGGGGTTGTGGGCTTGATCCTCAGTAGGGAGCATGCAGGAGGCAGCCGATCAATGACTCTCATCATTGATGTTTCTCTCTCTCTCTCTCCCTCTCCCTTCCTCTCTCCGAAATTAATAAAAACATATTTTTAGAAAATTTACTTGTTTTTAAAGGTAATACAGGTACAGAATTAAAAAAAATAATTTTCCAAAAGTACGAAACAGTATAGTGAAAAAATTTACTTCCCTCAGATGCAACTATGCTTACCAGAGCTCTAAAGATGAAAATATGCATGCACAAGTACATACATATTTATCTTCATTTTTTCAAAACACAGTAGCACCAAATTAATTACAGCACTAATCTACAACTTGCTTTATTATACTGGAAGTTGTTCCAGGTTAGCAGAATAAGTCTGCTTTAGTTTAACAACTGCACAGTATTCCAATGTATGATTGTACCATAATAAGTATTCTTATATTGCCAAGAATCAGATCATTATAAAATAACTTACTAGATATATTTCAGACTCTTAATAATCTGATCTCATCCCCTTTCTGTTCACTTTTCATAATGGTTTGGGAAGAAATTAAAAAAGAAATTAAACTCAAAATTTCTATTATTTGTGCCCTACTCCATTTGGTATAAGAGCTGGACATAAGTTTTAAATTTAGATATAAAATTTTTTCCAGTTATCAGGAACCAAACTGAAGTTCACACATTTTGTTCCAAACTGCTTCCAACCAGGTCAAGTGTCACTATTGTACTCAAATTTTAAAACTGTCTTGGAACAAGAAAGGCTCACCAAACAAATCCATCACCTCTAGAAGCTACAAAATTGATCCAACAGTAAAATTGTGGAAATGCATTTCAAAACATCAAAGAACATCTCTCGAAGGGAAGATTTACAGTGCTTATCTATAATAAGACGACCTCCGTCTCAGTTCAATTCCTTGCTTGACTATGCAGGTCACATTTGCCCTGGCTGGTATGACTCAGTTGGTTGGAGCACTGTCCTATGCACTGAAGGGTCATGGGTTCCATCCCCCGTCAGGAAGCATACAGGAGGCAACCGATCCATGTTTCTCTCTCCCTCTCCCTCCTCTCACTCTAAAATCAATTGAATAAAAATATTAAAACAAAACAAAAAGCACATTAGAGGACACTTCTCGAGGGAAGATTTACAGTGCTTATCTTTAATATGAAGACCTGTATATCAGTTCAATTCCTTGCTTGACTCTGTATGTCATATTCATTTTATTTTAAATCTACAAATGTAGAGCTCTGAAGCAGACTTAAAGATGTATCTTGGGAACAAAAAATACTTTAAGATCATTTTATATTTCACTTTCTGATTTTCTGACAATGATGATATTGTATATACTCTTAGCAAATTTCACTTTCACTATAATTTTATACTCATTATCACACAAAAAATGTTAGAACAATTCTTTGAGATAGCTAACAAGCTTACCCCCATTTTACAGATGAAGAAAACTAAGACTTCTAGACATTAAGTAATTTGCCCAAGGTCACAAACCTAATATATAGTAGAACCAAGATTTGAACAACATTTGACTGACATTAGATCCCTTATTCTTATTTACTGTACTGTTCCCTAATGGTTGTAAATTTCATGATTAAAACAAATACAACAGGTAAGGAGTCAAACTATTATAGCCACTGGAAGTAAACAAGGTTATCAAAAGTAAATTTACTTATCAAAATTTAGCTTCCTAAATTTCGATAAGTACCCATCCCATTCCTGAACACATAATTGTTTTTTAGAGAAAACCTAAAATTACTTTGAAAATAAATGGCCTAGTTATTTCAAACTTTTAAAAAAAAACCATTTTGAGTACAGTATCACAAAAGGTTAATACCAACTTAACCAATATTTCAATGTTTAAGTTGTCAGGATACCTAATATTCTAAAGCCAAAGTTCTCAAGAAAAGACTGCAAACAAAACAAAATGTCAAATAGCCACCAATGCTTCTTCGCCTCATCTGTATATAAAACCAATTCCTAACACTTTAAACAATTACATTATGTTCAACAATCCTTAATATTCAGGATTTTAATGATCTAACTGAAAGTTCTAACTATAATGTCAAAGCATTTCCTTTTAATCTGTTCCAAGCACAGAAGGCAAAAGAAACCTTTGTTTTATTTGGAAAGGAGAGTCAAGTAACGTAGAACCTAACCAATACTAAGCTAAATTAAAAACTCAATTCTTTCTCTAAATTCTATTTTTCAAATTAAAAAAAAAAAAGTCCAGTTTAAAGAACATATTCATTATGGGATATCTGTGAAAATGAATTTTAAAAATCATATATGCAAATCATGCTATGCAAAGTTGGCATCACTTTCAGAACTAAAGATATCTGTTATAATTCTGTCCAGTTATATATAATGCAGATTGCTGCAATGAACATCCTTACAGAAAAGCTTCTGCACCCAATCCTGATTATTTCCTTAGAGCAGATTCTTAGAACTAGAGTAAACAGGTCAAAGGTTATGGTTTTTGAGGCTTTTGGCAAATAATTCTAAATTATTTTCGGTCACAATTTATTTCGGTAATTGTCACTTTTTAATCACTTTTGATTTGGAAGGTAAAAAACAGTCCCCTGATATTCTTTTAATATATACGTCACTGACTGATCACTAGGAAAATGGCTAAATTAATGATAGTACAGCCAAACTGTGGAATACGGTACAGCTACAGCAGCACACTTAGGTACACTTGCATGTACTGACATGAAAAGGTGTCCAGGTTATAGATAAAAGCAAGCCACTGAATGATCTTATGGCATAAACTCCTTTTTCGTGTGGGGGAAAAAATAGAAGATAAAGAGAAGCCTAAAAAATTATGATACGTAGAAACACTCTTTTTTATGTGCACAGAAAAAGATCTGGAAGAACATCCACCAAATTGCTTACTTGTACATATAAGCAGGATCAAAAGCCAGAATTTGGGTAGAAGAGAGGAAAGAAAGATATAGTTTCTACTTTATTATTGTTTGACTATTTTTCAATAAATATGTAAATACTTTAAATGACAGTAACAATATATTATTTATATTATTAACTGGAGTCCCTAAGTCTTTTTTTTAACCAGATAAATCCAAGAATGAACTAACTTTTATTGCTGCAAGGTATAAACAGAACACATAAGTAGGGATGGGGGCAGGATATGCGATTAAATCCCACTCCGGAAAAACCTTCATTGGCCAAAAAGGGTTTCAGCACTGGAAATTCGAAGGTGAACCAATATGCTTCTTGGAAGATAAATTTCCTTCTCCTGAAATGGCAATGACAACATATTTTTGTTGTGCCACAAAATACATAAAAGTGAGTTATTTCAAACATTTGTTCAATTGAAGTTTCTTTTTTTTTTTTTTTTTAATTGAATGTATTGGGATGACATTGGTTAATAAAATTGTATAGGTTTCAGGTGTACAATTCTATAATACATCACTTGTATATTGTATTGTGTTCACTACCCCATTGTCTACCATTATTATCATCACTGAGACCTATGTACCACCTTTTATTATTAACTATTTTACATTTACCCCATTTGGTATTATCCTTATTTTATTTAATTTTTTTAAACTTCATCAAAACTACTCTACATTTTACTCCTATTCTTCAAAGTTTTAAGAAACTTAAGAAAATAAAACAATTCCTTTAGAGAGTCTTTTGTTTTTTTAAACTTCAAAATTTTCAAAATCCAAAAGGACTAGTTTGAGTAGAGATGTAGAAAAAGACATTTCTAGCCTTCCCCCAATAATTATGTGTGTGTGTTTTTTAAATAAAGGGGAAACCTTCCCACAGCCAGACTACATCCACTGCTACCTAGAATCCCAGAAGTGTTTGTAGTTACCTAAAGTTAAGATATTTGGATGACAGGAATATTACTGATGGTTGTAAACTAAAGGAAAATCCACAAATCTTATTTTGATAATATGAAATATAATAAACTTATTAAATCATACCAGGTTTTAGAAGGGGATGGGGAATGAAGCATGCTCTTAAAATGAATTATACATGGTAATGCCTTTTTAAATGGCTAATCTACTAATCTGCTTTGTAACTCTGGAGATGGCTATTTGTATGTGTGGGAGTAACTGAATATAGAATACAAACCAGGAGTGATATTTAGTTCATTTCCTACAGCTAGACTCCAAACTTTCCCACGAACACTAGGGGGCAATCCCTGCCACCACAATTCTCGAACTCTTCTTGTACTACGCCTAGAATTAAAGGGGGAGAAAAAAGGAGAAAGTTACTTTTTATACCAAAAATACTAGTTGCATCATGGTTTACCTAGTCTATGGCCAAGTGACTGAATGATTTTTAAGAACACAGAAAGTTAAGTATGTGATGCATTCTTTTCATTGGGCTCATGCTTGTAGGCACAAAAAAAAAAAAAAGGCCTAAAAAATATAGTACCCTAAAGAGAGACAATAGTAATTTCAAGGGAACTGCCTTCTGTAGCTGCCATTTTCTGATAAAATGAATCAGAAAAGTATAATTATTATGAAAAAAGAGAATAAAAGGAACGTAAAATTTTGTTGTCAATTCAGTACCCAGAAGAAAATCATTAAGTACTTACTATGGGTAAGGCCCTAGTCTTTGAGAGGCAGTATAGTCTGCTTAAGAGTGTGGGCTTTAGAATCCGATAGAACTGACTTCAGATCTGGTTTAACCATTCATTAATTGTATAACCTTGGGCAAATCACTTAACCTATCTGACCTAGAGCTTCCCTGTAAGTGGAAGTAAGGGTTGTAAGAATCAAATGTGATTACTTATGTAAAGAGCCTAATATAATATCTATCACATGTCCAATATTCAACAAATTCCCAATGCATTTCCTGTACTAGACATTGCAGAAGACATCTCCTACCCTCCAGTCTAGAGGAAAGATAAGGAATGTACAAAAATATTATAAAAAAATTAAAAACAAAGTAAAGCAAGAAGTACGTTAGTCTTGAAGTATAATGGGACACTACAGAAGGAAAACATATATTTTATGATATATATATAAAATATATGTATACATACAACATTCTCTTGATTATGAGGGAAGCATATTAAAATCATTTATATTTAACATTTAATAAATGCACCTTATAATGAATGTACATACTTTAGTATTTTCTTTGCAAAAATCTGCAATGACATCAATAGTGCACCTTGCAATGGATGATATACGTAAGAATTTAGAACACATGGTAACTAAAGAAAAATCAAAAGTTTCATGAATCAAATAGCATTTCAAATGGGACTCAAAAGATAGGTAAGATTCTGACAGGTAGAGAGGGTGGTCAGTAAGGGAAGCAGGTCTTAGAAATTGAGGGGTTTATAGAAGCAAAGGCACAGAGATAAGCATAGGCTACATGGTGGAAGTAATAAAAAAATAGAAAATTGGAAACATAAGGTCTTTGGAGAAAGACTGGAATTCAGGAAAAGTCTGCTTACTTACATTACTTCCCAATTGGGCAGTATTTCATTGATCCAAATTACCATTGCATTTGCAATATTTTCTTCTTGTTTAAATCGTTCTTTCATTATTTTTTTCCTTTTATGTGCTTCTTTAATTTCTGTTTTAAACAAGTAAGAATATTTCAATACAAAAGAGCTAGAGCAAAACCCCCTTTTCCTTCTACCTAAGCCTACAAAAGAGCTTTCTCAAAAAGAATATTCTAAATAAAAGGAAGAAAAACAGGGAGAGGGTGGAGGAAGGAAAGATGGGAGAGGGAAGGAGGTAAAAAGAGAAAGAAAATGAACTTGTTTAATATAATTTTAAAGTAACATCTCCTATTCTACACATTGGAACAAAGGTCAAAAAAATCACTTACACAGATTACGGTATCACGTCTTCTATTTGTACTTAATCAATGAACTGAAATTTGCCATGAATTAACAGTGAGCAATTAACCAATACCCTTTTTTCATACAAGGGGTTTATGAATTTCCTCACACAAAACCACATGACACTAAAAACTGAATATGATGTTTCACCTTGCTAACTAGATTAAAATTTAAAAATTCCCCTAATACACACACATGCACACAACACCCCTCTGAAAATCAGAAGTCACAATTTCAGAAGAGATACCTCAAAAACAGAGAAGTGAAATATATATATATATATATGTATATATGTAAAAACTATACACATATGCAGTTATATATAATTTTAGAACCAGTGGGGACTTCAGAGATCAGCTAGCTAAAGTGTTTTCTAAATTGTTTCACATATGCTCCAGGAACTGTCTTAACAGGCAAGCAGGAGGCCAAGTAGGCAGATCCACTTTTTAAAAATTTGTTTTATATATTCAAATTCTATGTAATATTTTTTTGGAGTGGGTTTCACTGCTTAAAAAAAAAAAAGTGCTGCCCTGGCTGGTTTGGCTCAGTGGTTAAAAGCATCAGCCCACGGACTGAAGGGTCTCAGATTTGATCCCCAGTCAAGGGGATGTACCTCAGTTGCAAGCTTGATCCCCAACCCCAGTCGGGTGAGTGCAGGAGGCAACCAATCAATGCACCTTTCTCACATCGATGTTTCTCTCTCCGTCTCTCTCTCTCCCCCTTCCACTCTCTCTGAAAAGCAATGGGAAAGATATCCTCAGGTGAGGATTAAAAAATAAAAAAAATAAAAATTAAAAAAAAAAGTGTTGACAAAAGGACTTGAAAGTCTTCATCTAGTTGACCTGCCCCCCGCCCCTTGCTTGAAGTGTCACATCCAGGCAGCATCAAACAGGATTAAAGCTGTGACCTTATGATTTCCCAATTCAGTGTTGTTTCTATCATATCATGTTCTTAGGATTATCTACTTATCAATAACTACCTTAAATATTAATTAAATAGTAAAGTGAGTGTTGAAAGTCAATTAAAATTTGTTGGATATGTTAGAAATATTTCAAATTTTGTATAGAAAAATAAGCTCAACCAATGTTTAAATTATTAGGCCCTTTAGAAAGATATAACTAGATTTATAGGTTTACTACAAGATTAAACAATTAACTTCACTTCCAAAATAGTGCCACAAAGTAGAACTGTATACTATTATAAATATTCTATTCACTTGAGGAAAAAAATCAGTTGTTAAAAAAGCACATGTCAAAAAGTGTGTGTGCATATATATACACACACACACACACAGCTGTGTAATACTTTCTAAAAATATATCCTGAACAGTGCTTAAGAAATAAATAGTTAAATTATCCTTACATTATACTTTTTGGTTGGAGGAATGAATAAATAAATGTGTGAAATTATGCATACAAGAGTACATATTTATGTGCCTTTCCGAATGACACAATTGGGACTCTAGAGAGACTCCATTAGGTCACAAAAGCAGCCCTGGCTAGTGTGGCTCAGCAGTTAGAGCATTGCCCTGCACACCAATTCCTGGTCAAGGGCACATGCCTGGGTTGCAGGTTTGAACCCCAGTCCCAGTCGGGGCACATGCGAGAGGCAACCGATTGGTAAGTCTTTCTCACATCGATGTTACTCTCTCTCTCTCCACCTCCCTCCCTTCCACTCTCTCTAAAAATCAAGGGAAAAATGTCATCAGTGAGGATTAACTACTACAAAAAAGTCAGAAAAATGTATTTTAATTTCACAGCCATATAGGAACTTATGTTAAAGCACTGAAATTATTAAGTTATATCGTATCAAAAGCCTAAAAACTGTACAAAAAGTGCCTTTCATGAATAAATTCATCGATACATTCATTTATACGTCAGCAGTCCGAGGGTTATGACCGTAATGATAAGATCTCCCATACAGTCTGCTGCCTTTCTCCTCTTACTAGTTTTGTAAAAGTACTTACAGAAGAACTATGATCCTAGTATGACATTTTATTTTTCTTTAAGAACAAATGTGGTTATAAAAATACAAAATCACCATCATCATAAAGACAGACTTCATCTATTTCACCATGCAACTTCCTGTTGAAATTCTGTAAACTGAATTTACCAATTGGAGTTAAATTTTATACCTCGTTTTTTAGCTTCAGCCACCATTTCATCATATTCTTGTCGGTGACGTAAAGCTTCTTCCACAGATTTGGCAGGAAGATTTCTGAGCAAAAAAAAAAAGTTTTTAAGTCACTTTTTAAAAGACTAACTTTTAAATGTATTAACTTCTTTATTTTTATAGCTAGATACCAAGAATTTTTAGCCTCACCTTATTTCATACATTAAGAAAGTAAAAGGCTGAAAAAAACTCTGCATTTTAGAAAAGAACCAGAATTCAAGTTGCTAATATTTGGTTTCTATGTTATATATATTTATATGTCATATGTGTATGTTTATGCATTATTTTTGAATGTCAAATTTCAGCCAATATTTCTAAGTTATTTGTTAAACCCATTTACTACAGTTTTTTAAGTAAAATTTTTGGACGTATAATTTACATGTGATAAAATGAACGAACATATTGTAAGAGTACAGTTTGATGAGTTTTGACAATTTTACATACCTTTGCAACTAACATACCAATCAAGATACAGAATATTCCCATTGTTCCACAAGGTTTCCTTATGACCCTCTGCACTCAATACTTACCCACCTCCTACCTTAGGCAATCACATCTGTGATTTCTATTACTACACATTAGTTGGTTGCCTTTTAAAGAGTTTCACGTAGAATCTTTTTTGTTTGGCTTCTTTTGCTCAGTACATTTTTAAAATTCATCTATGCTGTTCTGTTATTACTAGTGTTTCTCTTTTAACTGGAGAGTAATGTTCCATTTATCCATATGGATGAACACTTAAGACTGTTTCCAGTTTGGGGCCACTACGAATAAAGCTACTGTAAATATTTCAGGTCTTGTGTGGGCCTCTGCCTTCATTTCCCTATGGGTAAATACCTAGGAGTAGAAATCTTGGGTCACATGGTAAATGCAGGTATACTTTTATAACAAACTGCTTTGTACTTTTAAGAGTTTCAAGGTAATGTTGTGAATAAAAACTTGATAATCAGTTAATCACTTATATGCTATATTTTGGTTTATAAAATTAATGGCTAAACAGAGTGATTTAGATGTGTGACTACGCAAAAGGAAATACACATTTAAGTATTATCACATATCCAATGTATCATAATAATGCCTGGTTTTTGGTGTCAGTTTTTAAAATTATTTTCAACAAGTCAGGGTGAGGAAACGGATGTGACAAACTTCCAAATTGTACACTGTACCTCTTCCTCTCTCCTCGAGTTAGAGTCTTCAGGGACGCTGCAGCAGGAATGAATAATGGTTACGACTTCTGGTCAGACCATAAAGGAGTGAGGGGGACCAAATTTACCCTCACCGTAATTAGTTAGAAAAGCGAACAAAATATATTAAACCACAGTGTTCAGACATTGGACAACAGGCCGCACAAGATAATGATCATTACAGAAAGGAAAGAAACAAAGGGAAAGAAACAAAGTAAGCCTTCAAGTGTCTGAGTTTACAGCATGGTGTTTCTGGGTCTCAGTGCTGGGAGTACGTAAACAGAGTCCACCAGTCTTGCTGAGTTGAGGAAAAGAGTTTGGAGTTGGAGAGTCCAAGACAGCTAGACTTTGAAGAGCAGAGAATCAGAGAGGAGGTACAGAGGATTCCTCTGAAGTCTTTGGCTGAGTACTGATCTATGCGTGTGTGTGATTAAACTATGGTAGCCAGGGAAAGAAACACAGGAAAGGAATATGTAGAAGATTCTCAAAGATCATACTGGAGCAGCCGGAGTGGAAAGACCTAATAGGGTATCAGGTGGAATCCTTAGGGTATTGCTTCAGTAGTAAGGATAAATTAGTCACTAGCTACATGTAGCTACCGAGCACTTGAAATGTAGCGAGAGTGCTTAAGGAACTGAATTTTTAATTTTATTTAATTTTTTAAAAATTTTAATTGATTTTGAGAGAGAGAAGAGGAGAAAGGAGGGGGGAGGAGAGAAACATCAATTTGTTGTTCCACTTATTTATGCATTCACTGGCTGCTGCTTGTATGTGCCTTGACAGAAGATTGAACCCACAACCTTGGCATACTGGGATAATGCTCTAACCAGCTGAGCTACTCAGCCAGGGCTTATTTAATTTTAATTAGATTTAGATTTAGATAGTCATATGTGGCTAGTTGCTACCATAATGGATAGTATAGGTCTAGATTCTAGAGAAACAGAAAGCAGTAACTGCCATCCTGGTCATTTATGAAAAGAATGGAACTAAACCAGAACAAGCACAAAGATCACAGATTTTAAGTAAAGACAGAACTATGCCTCAAAACCATGTTTACAAAGTCCTAGTTAATAAAAGTTCCTTTATACACGTGTTTCACTGACAATTCGCACCTTGATATTTCCAGACACAGTTGCCCAAACTGGGCTGACCTAGTCCTGAAAGATTTCAAGAATAGAGACACGCCCTGGCCGGGTGGCTCAGTTGGTTGGAGCGCTGTCCCTTAAACAAAAAGATTGAGGGCTCAATTCCCCATCAAGGCACATACCTAGGCTTTGGGTTTGATCCCCAGTTCGGGCATGTATGGGAAGAAACCAATAAATGTTTCACTCTCACATCAATGTTTCTTTATCCGGCCCCCTCCCATATCCTCCAGTGAGGATTAAAAGTAAAAGAAAAAAAGAGGTTAGCATATAGCTTTATGTCTGAGCATGAAATAATTTGCATAAAGAAATTAAACACTGTTTGGGAAAAAGAAGTTTTCAGATCATCCTACATCAGGTTTTTTTCATTGTTATTTCATTTTCTTGAAAATGAATACTTATAAACATACTCTAAAACAAAATTGTATACATAAATAATAATTATTCTATGTCTTAGTATCCCCTTCTTTGAATTGCCATACATGCAAAAACCTTAGTATACAGTAGGTATTCAATAATTATGGTTCAAAGCTGAATGATCCATATGATAAATATCCTACCAATCTTTTGACAGTCTGAGGAAGAGCAGAGCTTCAGTACTATAACTGCTAAGTAACTACAGGCTGTACAGTAAATAAAGCTAAAAACAAATACATACACAAACTTGTTTTTGTGTGTGTTCCCCCCAAATACCACTAATTTTCAGTCATCTATCTGGAGATGTGAATAAAAATCAAATTCTTCAGTCTAGAAAATCAAAGGCTGAGTGAATATTATCGACCAAGAAATGTTAGACACCTCACTCAGCACTTAGTTGCTATAGGAAAAGACATGGTTTATCCCTACCTCTAACGAAAGAGTCAACTAGTTATGTGGTCAAGGCGAGAAGCCATTAATGAGTAGCCAAGACAGTGAATCATGCTAAAAAGCATGGGATGGACATTGCTGCTATTTGAAGGTATTACATAAAAAACCTATACTTTACTTTTTTGTCACCTTTCACTTATAATTTGTATCCACCATTTCATTTGATATTAGTAGGAATAGTGATTCAGTGAGGAAGCTAGAAGAGAAAAGGAGTAGCTCTATCCATTGGTGGCTTTTAAAGAAAAGAAAAAAAACAACAGTTCCATAAGCACAAGTGATTTAAAAAATATAAGAGGCTTGCCCAGTCAGCATGGCTCAGCAGTTGAGCATCGACCTACGATCCAGGAGATTGTGGTTTGATTCCTGGTCAGAGCACATGCCCGGGTTGCAGACTCGATCCCCAGCAGGGATTGTGCAGGAGGCAGCTGATCAATGACTCTTTCATCATTGATGTTTCTTTCTCCTTCTCCCTTCCTCTCTCTGAAATCAATAAAAATATATTTTAAAATATATTTAGTTCGGAAGATAAGAACTTTCATACCAGCTGATTATGTTGATATGAGCCTTATATATATATATACACAACATGTGAATATATATATATAAAAGGCTCATATATAATATAACATATATTATATATATATAACATGTGTGTGTATATATATATAAAAGGCTCATATATAACATAACATATATTTTATATATATATATATATAAGGCTCATATCAACATAATCAGCTGGTATGAAAGTTCTTATCTTCCTGTCCAAGGCTGTCTTTATTGTGAGGTGGATGGACTAAGATGGGAACAGGGAGAAAGAAAATTAACAAAAAGATGAAATTATAGAAATTCCTATATTTGGAGTCCTCCGAGACTTCAGATGATTAAATACTATAATTGCATCATATGTAAAAAAGTTTTGACTATAAAAACCTATGCTGTCAATGACTATGGATGTCTCTGCAAATCAGAGGCTAAGAAAGGATAAACACAACAATTCACAAACTCCCTCTGCAATGGGAAACTCCTCTCCTCATATTATCATTTTGACCTATGGTAGGAGACAATTCCAACATCAATTCCAAGGTAAGGAAAAACTTCTGCCTTTTTCTCCACCTCCTCACAAATGCCACCTCCTAGTTGAAGCAGTAGTGCTAAAGGAACCTGGCTGCATCCACAAACAGAAGAAACCTGAAAATTACACAAGTTTCTCCTCCAGCTTCTCAGCCTGTGAAGGGCTGGATGTCAGCTGGTCTGTCTGCTAGGATAGTATTCTGGGGGAGGTAAAGAGGAAGTGCCATTTAACACTCAGATCGCACCCGTGTATTTGTATCTGGTTTTACCCTGAATAAAACTGAAGTCTTTATTCTCATCTGTTCTCTGTATCTGTTTCGACTGTTGGAGTAGAGGAAGGATGAGCTATTAGGTACTCCATATTCCAACATCACGGGAAACCTTTGTTTGTTGGTTTGTTTTAGTTACATAAATGTAAATCATATAAATCACTTACTCCCCAAAAAGACCACTTCAAATATAAAAAGGTGATCGAAATATTTAATTAAATCACAGCATCTCAGAGCTGAGTGGAAAAGTAGCTATCAAGCTGAATGTCTATATTACATACAAACGCACAAAGAAACAGCACAAAAGCTACAATGTTTATTATAATTAATATAGTAATTTCAGACGGTCAATAGCACAGTGAAAAAAAGAAAGTGCTTTTTCAGTTTATTCACTTTTGGTCCACTGAGATCTTATAATGTTACTGTGTCTGATGTACTTTTTCAAGTTCCAATTCCATGGAACGGCTTGTATAAGTTACAAGATAATTTAAGAGAAGCAGCTATCAGTGAAGGCTGACTTGCTAGAAAAGATAAAGCCTCATCTTTAAAGGTTTAAGTACGTGAGCAGTAGGAATAAGGTAACTGTCTTCCAAGTGAGGGCAATAACATGAGCAAAGGCCTGAAGGCAAGACCTGGGTCTGACTGTAAAACAGGAGGATGCAAAGGAAAATTTGTCCCACAGACTGTCGCACAGAACTTGTTGCATAGTATCTTTATAAACTCCTTCTGGGAAGAAATGAACACTCCTGGTAAAAAGCTTAAGCCATCTTGGGTGAATCTGAACAAGTGTAAGAAAGCTCTCCCAGGAACTTAGTTATCTACCTCCTCGGCTGTCAGTTGAGAGTCCGCAGATCTGTACCAGGTACTCTCTTCCCGCTTATCTGACCATTCCTTCCATCTGCGCGTTCATTCTTCTCCTCGTCAACAAGACAGTAAAACCCTGACACAGTCTCATAACCATATTTCTAAAACGCGTTTTTTTCCCTTACCAATGGAAAAATAATATGCTCTTCAGGATAATGGATAGAAAAAGCTGTAGACCAGGAAAATGACAAAGAAGGTTAGGAATTATTATGTTGGAAGGAAGGAGACTAGAAGAAGAAAAAGAATAGATCCAGAGAGCTCAAGAAGGGGAAAACAAGTTAAGAACCAAGTGATCTTGCTTCAGGGGAGGTTGCTTTGTTTGATAACAAATCAGAGACAATATTTTGAAGATCAGCAACTCTGTGGGCCACTAAGGTGGGAAGGGCAGAAATGGGAACGGAAGAATTTAAAATGGTTTACTAGGTATTAATAATGTATCCTCAGTAACAGTAAACCAACTGGTTGACAGTCAGTAGTTAACATTTCAAGTTCCAATTTCAAAACTTGTCCAAGCCCTGCTGGAGCAGATCAGCAGCTGAGCATTGACCTATGATCCAGGAGATCGACCTATGATCCGGGAGATCCCAGTTCAATTCCCAGTCAGGGCACATGCCCAGGTTGCAGGTTGCGGGCTCGATCCCCACTGGGAGGTGTGCAGGAGGGAGCCAGTCAATGACTCTCTCATCACTGATGTTTCTATCTGCCTCTCCCTCTCCCTTCCTCTCTCAGAAATCAATAAAGACATATTTAAAAAAAAATTTGTCCAAAAGGCAAAGACAAATACACCTTAAAAACGTATTAAATGTCAAGAAAGAAAAAATAATTTCCTTATAGGGTCAAAATAGAAACAAATAAAAAAAGCTAAGATTTTATGTCTCATATATTGGCTCACAGAGACTTCTAGAAAGTATGTCTAAGGCTTGAACATCAATAATATAGTCCTCCCCATTAGTTTTAGGATGCATGACTGGGATTTAAAATAAAATAAAAAATAAATCCATTTCTCTAGTTTCTTGATAGCTTTTGTGTAAAATAGTAAGCAAAATTAAATTTAAGTTTAAAATATAAACAGCGTGCCTGATGAGCACTATACTACTTACGATGGTCGATCCTCAAGAATCAGGGCAGTCGTAGAAAGTGGCTCAAATTCAAAATTCTTACGTCTGGAAGACTGAGGCACCGGTTTACAGGTCCTCCCTGTCCGTGCTTCATATTCCTAGAGTGGATAAAAACATACTTTATGCAGAGACTTTCTCAATTTTCAAAATATCCTAAATCTGTATCATTAAGGATATTATGCTATAAAAGGGACACATACGATTCATACATTAATCTGGTAGAAATATTAGGCAGGCAAAAAAAATGAAAGTCACTTTTTTCCCCCTGAAGCAAACTAAATTATGAATTTATATTACATACAAATTATCAAAGTATGGTAGGAGAGGGGAAGGTAGAAATACACTAGATTGATGAGGCAAGGTTTCAGGGAGGTGTTCTTGTTGCCTTCTAAGGTACCAGCTATCCAAGTCCAGCTCTGAAAAATCTACAAGTAGATAAACCTACTTCCTTACCTCTAGTCAATTGCTGGTTTTGAATCCCAGTCTACTTTGACTCTAACTTTTATAAATCTACCAGCTTGCTCTAAATTTAAACAATTTGCCAATGTATCTTTAACTAATAATATGTCCAAAGACAGTTAAATACTTCACTAAAGGTAATGAACTGTTACTATAGTAGTCCCCTGTAATCTTGCAGTTTCACTTTCTGTGGTTTCAGTTACCCGCTGTCAACCACAGACAAAAATATTAAATGGAAAATTCCAGAAATAAACAATTTATAAGATTTAAATTGAACGCAGTCTTGAGTAGCATGATGAAATCTTGGTCCATTCCAGTGGGGCATGAATCATCCCGTTTAGTCTCTTAGTAGCCCTGTAGGCTATCAGATTGCAGTCTCTTAGTAGTCTTCATATGATAGTAGTTATCACATGGCAGTGTTTGTGTTCATGGAACCCTTGTCAGAAAGTCAATAGTAGCCTAAGGCTATGTCATAATGCCTACATCATCCACCTCATCACGAAGGCATTGTATCATCTCATTGTTCATAAACTTTTACTAAAATTTATTTCTAGAAATTTGCCCAAGATCAATAATAAGTTTAATGGCTTATAATTTCCAGAACCCACATTTTCCCTTTCTAAAGAATTTTTTAAAAATCTCGTTAGTGCTTTCTCATCACCAGGTAATACATATGTATATTTTTCATGAAATTTTCAGATTACTCATAAGTAGATATGTAAGCCAACTGGCAGCTAGACAAGACATTAATTTAAATGGAGAAAATTCAATGCACTCAGAGTAGTCCATTGTTTCACTTATGGCTACTTTCCTATTATGGCCTATAATTCTTTTCATATTATTATTTGTTTTTCCAACTCAAAGACTCTCCCTACTGAATTGATGGCTTCATCCCTCTTGAAAATTTGATGATCTTTTTGTGTGTGTGTTTTTAAAATTCTCACCCAAAGAAGACATTTTCATTGGTTGTACTCGTGACTGGGCTGGGGAGGGGAACCTGCAACTGAGGTACGTGTCCTTGACCAGGAATTGAACCTGAGACCTTTTGGTCCGTGGGCTGACGATCTAACCACTGAGCCAAACCAGCCAGGGTGAAAATTTGATATTGTTGAAGCTTAATGTTATTTGACATAGTACTTTAAAAAATAATTTATGTTGTCTTAAGCATTTTATGTAAACTTCAGCTTACTTTATGGTTCCTGCTGCTGTTTATAAAGATTTGTAATTTTATAATTATCTTTAAGTTCTACATCTCCCCTTCCATCTACATCAAAACGAACAGCCTTTTCAGGGTCAAAAGCCATAAATGGGGTCACTTATTTTTCTTTTTCACAATTTTCTTTTCTAATAACTAGGATGTACTACATATAAAACATTTCTTTTCTTCATTAGAAAAGTGTAACAAATCCCCTCTTGTGGTAATGCTTTTCTTATTAAAAATCACACACACACACACACACACACACAAACACAAGGTTTGTCATCATTTAAATGGCACTGTTTTCCCACAATGTGACCTTGATCACTGCTAGACAGAATACAGTGAGTATTATCCAATAAAGCAGTTTCCATGCAAATAAATGCCAGTGCACAAACAGCAAAATAAAATTTCTAAATCAGTATGTTAGTAACTAGTATTTTCTGACACAATGTACTATATGCACTGTTTTAAACACTTAAAACATTTCATCCTTGAAACAACCCTGTGAGGCATCTACTTTTCTCAGAGTAGAAAAATCTGAGGCATAAAGATCATTTGCTGAAGGATAAATGGCAGGCAATGTAGTTCCAGAGAGTGACCTTTTAACATCTGCATGTTATCTTACTATGATAACAGTCCAGTTGCTATCTATGACAACTTAAAAGAATTTGATAGGTAAAATCATTCAGTGAGAGGCTGATGGGTAGATCAGGCTGACATGACAATACCTCAATCACTGGTCCATCTAAACATCACATGAAAAGACCCCCGGACAGTATATGCTTCCAGTTATGCTGCAATGTGAAGTATACATACCATTCCTGAAATATTCTTGCCAAAAGAAAAATCAAACTTAAATATGATTAAGCCTCTAGAACTGTTATTTCTAATATGGTAGTGAGAAGAAGGGATAATGAAATAAGTCATGATATCGAGGAATCAGAACCATTAAGAGGTTCTTCTCTAGAGGACAGGACTAGGCACGAAGGGCGTTTGTTTTACTTTATTCAGTACTGCTGACCCTTCTTACAAGAAATAAAGTAGTTTGTGAGATCACTGATAGTGGGGGTGGGTAACTGACAAAGATTTTACTGAAGAAATCCAATCAGAACCGGGGCGAGAAAGATGGGTATTAATTACACAGCAGAAAGGACGGAAGGAAAAAGCCAAGGGGACAAGCCACAGCATGGATCAGGGAAGCACATTAAACTCACTGAATATGAAAAAGGGAGGGAAATAAGGTTTGAAAGGTGTAGGCTAAATTATGGGGCCTTTCATTGGCAAAAACAGTAATTGGAATTTACGATGAAGAAAACGGAGAGCCACTGAAAGTTTGGACAAAACCTACCTTTAATCAAAGTAGTCTTTCATTAAAAATTAACTGATAAAGTACACATTTAATGTAAAAGGCAATACAAAATGAGGTATGTATATATCACTTATCTACCTTATGAGTGACCTTTATGCATAATTTTCACTCAAATATTTTTCACATGAGAAAAAAGTTGTATTCTAGCATTTCCCATCACAGACCCATAGCATAAAAATGTTTAAATTTCTAAAGGTTAACATTTTAAGAAGCTTAAACACATAGAATCAACCCATCATTATATGAAAACAGACTCACATATCCCAAAGGACTCAGATATCTGCTAAATAAGTTAAAGATGTTATTCTAATGATTACAACTCCAGGTTATATTAGAAATAATAAAATATTAAATGTCAGTACTTTAAAAAATCACAAGGTGATATCCTATTAGGTAGGATGTTTATTATATAAAACAAAAACCCAACTCAAACAGTGTTAGGCAAATTTATCAGATTACAGGACTGAATATTCCATGTACTTAGCTAATTTTAGACTCTGACCAAGAGGGTCAAAACACTGCCCGGAGACTCCACTTCTCTACCACTCTCTCAGCTATGCCCTCCTCCATGTGTGGGCTTCATCTGGAGGCTGGCTTGCTGCTCGGAGAAATGACTGCAGCAATGCCAGTTGTCACATCTTCATAGCAAAATTTTCAAAGATCCTCCAGTGGCTCTTTTAGTAACTCCCACAAAAAAGAAGGCATTCTTCCAGGAAGTTCCCAGTAAATATCCATTCCACAAACAATCACAATGACCTGAGAAATAAGCTTTATAGATGAGTTAAAGTCAATCAGGGCTTATCTCTGCAGCTGAGGCAAATCACATGACTCTTAACTCGAGTTTAGGGCATAGAGAGAGTAACACAGTGCTCTTATTGAGAAGTAGTTGAAATACATAAGACTTCATTTAAAAATACAACCAAACAATATCTCATGGGTGGAATTCCTAAAGTCAGTTTCACTTTAAATCCATATGTATCATGTCATGAAAAACTCCCCATGTACAAGTTTAATAAAGAACTAAACACTGATAATTTCATGGGTAATAAAAAAATCTTTACAGCCCTGCCGGGCGTGGCTCAGTGGTTAAGAGTCAACCTAGGATCCAGGCGATCAGGGTTCGATTCCCCATCAGGGCACATGCCCAGGTTGCAGGCTCGATCAATGACTCTCTCATCATTGATGTTTCTGTCTCTCTCTCTCTCCTTTCCTCTCTGAAATCAATAAAGAGATATTTAAAAAAACAACAAAAACTTTACAATGTTAAAAAGCAACAAGAAAAATTATAATTCAAGGAAATCAGTAAATAATGCTAGCTACATTACATTAACTGTTTGAAAATACCTTATTAATACGCACTGTTTTCTGCCAACAAAGCTCAGTTGCTTTTTTAATCCTCACCTGAAGATATGTTTTGATTGATTTTAGAGAGACAGGATGGAGGAGAAAGAGGGGGAGAGAAACACTGATGTGGGATAGAAACATCAATTGATTGCCTCCTGTGCACACCTTGAACTGGGGATAGAACCTGCAACCTAGATATGTTCCCTGATGTAGAATCGAACTTGCAACATTTTGGTGTATGGGGTTCCATACAACTCCAACCAACTGAGCCACCTGGTAAGGGCAAAGCTCAGTTTTAACTGACCCATTTTATGAGTCTTTGGGAGCCAGCTACCTGCCAAGTATAAGACAAAAAGCATTTAGTTTTTCTTCTAACATATAGATTGTATTTCTATGGGGTGTTGTAATGAAGCCTGTTTATTTTTTTTTAATTTATTCTTCATTGTCCACTCGAAATAGTCTCTTATGAAATATGTTTAACTGGGATTAAACATATTTTCTAGTTAGAAAAGTAGGTGAAACCAGTGCTAGGAGCAGGCTGGCAATTTTCTGTAGGATCATTTATTCTAACTACTATATGAAAATTTAAATCAAATAAGCAATTCTACGGCTGATCAAAAGACAGTAGGCAACTGTTGTCCTCTTCATGAGTGTAAAGTAGAAAAAATGACTTACAATTCCAAAGCAAAGAAATACTGTATACATATAAAGAGAAAAGATGTTTT